ATAATAACGGGTACTTATACATTTCAATGTTTTAAATACATGGGAAACATATAGAAATTATTTGTTTACTATAATTTATTTTAACTGTATACGTGTTTACATGACTTTTAAACATTTATATATTGAATATCATTTTACATAATGAATTATTTAATATATTTGAATTTATATCAAGAAAAATTAAAGTATTCTGCATTATTATGTCGAAATATACAAAATATTAAGTACTAAGAATTTGAATCACAATATGTCGCAAAATATAATGAGTTTACAATATTATTTGTTTCAGAATATTTTTAGGAATATGATTTTTTAGGTTTCTTCATTAGTTAGATGACATATTGTATAAATTATATGTTTCCATGTTTGGTTATGTGTGAATTTAATTTAAATTAAAGCTATTGTCTTACATACTACATAATTTCTTATGCAATTAAAATCACATACACAATACTATCAAATATACTATTCTATAAAAACTACCAAGGCCGCCACATAGGATCTTGCTTATCAACGTGTTCTACGTCAATTTCTTCTTCATCCTCATCTTTATGTTCTACTTTAATCTTGTCTAATGTACGTTGATACCTCAGCTCTTTCGTATTAAGAACACTGTCTGAAGTTAATTTTTTACTGTTGTTAACATTAATCATTGTGTTACATTGAACCGGAACACTGGGCACAACTCCGTTCTGTTTAGTCTCACAGTTGATTGCTGTATTTTGATCGGAAGATGTTACATTGGTGTCTTGAATTATACCATTTTCAGTAGATGTTCCTGGTACAGCTGGTAACGGACTCGATTTCAACTGAAACAATAGGAAAACTATGCTTGAAAAATTCTACAATTATTATAATAATATGTATAATTATAATATAATGTAATTATAATGTAATAATATAATCGTTTGTACTGTTATATATAGTCGCAATTACTTCCTGTATGAAACAAATATATCGTATTAATAAATGGATCTGATGGTCCACCATTATAGTAATAAAAATTATGTGTATAGATTCTGTCGATTTCATAGATTACAGATGAAAACTCAGCTTCGAATATCTTAGCTCTATGTTTATCGATCTTTTGTGCATATTAAAATTTAAACAATGCTGTTTAACGTTGTCTTTCATTCACATTTTTTGGTTTCCACGATTTCCGAAATTTCCGACCGATAAAACTTTCAGCATGTTCAATAAATTAGCGAGGCTTCTCAATCAGTGAGTTTTCTTATTTTTTTTTTGTTATTCCAAGTGATTGAAATGTAAAAAGAAAATGTTAACTTTGTCTAGTGAATTAGCTATTGGAAACGGGTTTAAGATTAAAGGAACACTGGCTCTCGATTGTTATATACAGTGGTCCATAAAAGTGTTTGTACACCTTTTAAAACACAATAAATTTTTCAAAACTGAACTAAATGCCTTGAATTTTTTTTTTGCATGATAGACGGACTAGTCTACTAGACGATGATTGAAACGCTTCTTTTTTTTTAAATTTTGCTATTACTTGGAAAGCCAAAAACTAAAAATCTCTCGCTTTTTAACTTTTTTATCTGAGCCTATAACGAAAATTTAAAAAATATCTTTTGTAAATCTTGGTAAATTATATGCATGTTGAAAATTTTATCGAAATCGGTTAACGTCCTTACGAGTTACAGTTTTATCACGATTTTGGCTAAAAAGTGGAAGAAATCAGCAGTTTTTTAAATCCTTCAATGCCTGTAGTTCGATTCTAGGTCAACCGATTTCGATTCAATTTTCAGCACGCATATAAGTTAGCGAGATCTACAAAAGGCATTTTTTAAACTTTCGTTATTGGCTCAGATTAAAAAGTTAAAAAACGAGGATTTTTAATTTTTTGTTTTCATTCCAAGCAATAGCAAAATAAAAAGAAAAGCTTTTCAACCATCGCTAGTGGACTAGTCGCTCTATTATCTAAACAAAAAAATCAAGTCATTTAGTTCAATTTTGAAAAATTTATTCCGCTTTAAAAGGTGTACGAACACTTTTGTGTGCCACTCTAGTTAGAACCCCACACAGCCAAAGCCTTGAGATTAAGCATCACATCAACACATCCCATACTTTCTTACATTTATTTTCAAGACGATTTTGATAACGCCGAATTGTTTTTGCTATCGGACAATAACCTTTCGCAACAGCATTTCGAAAAAATTTAAGCGATCTGTTCCAATTCGAAGAAATTAATTCCGTTTTAAAAGATGTACCAACATTTCGTGATCACTGTATGTGTTTCAAATCGATAACTGTGCATCGAGAAACCTTCGCTGTGTGCTGTTTGATTTAATATCCCGTGAAATAATTACCGATAAATTCGTTGGCCGGTTCTTTTGAAGACCAGCTGTCAAGTATCTTGCTAACTTTTCCGCACCTTCATTCGAAAGGGCTGAGAGAAATCTGTACGCCTCGGCTGCACAGTGCCCGAAACCAGACAACCACCGGCTTTCGGCAGAGATCTCGTCGTTCTTGGCAACGGTGCTCGACAATCCGAAAGAATGCAGACCTTGTAAGGACTGCAGTTTTTGTAAATGGCGAACTGTTAGCTCCAGGATATCCGCCTTTTCCAGTTTGCTAATGTCCTCTCCTTCGGTCTGCAAATAAGAAGAATTGTCGAAAATTGAAACGAACTCCAAAGCTCAGATTTTCCTGGAAAATTCTGTATCATACATCGTCACGAGTTTCCTTGCTAACACTCGTGCGAACTGCGTCGCAGATGTCGTCGCAATTTTTGTCGCAAATTC